GGGATGAAGGGTTGAAAGAGTGTAGGAAAGGACGGATAATGGGTTGAACGATGTATTGTGTCGATAAAGGGAGGTAGGGTGAGAGGGATACAGGCAGGTAGGGAAGAACGGCTGAAGGAAGGGACGCATAAAGAGTCAAAGGGACATAGGGATGAGGGTGGAAGGGATGTAGGGAGGGAAGGATGAATGGAGAAAGGAGGCAAGGATGAAGGATTGAAAGGATGTAGGAAAGGATGAAAGGATGTATGGTGGGAGGAATACAGGGAGGTAGGGAATAATGGAAAAAGGAAAGGAGGCAGGGATGGAAGGGAAATGTGGCGGGATGAAGAGATTAATGAATGAAGGCATGTAGGATGGGAGGGATGAAGAGATAAAGGAAGGGATGCATAAAGAGTCAGATGGATGAAGGGATGTGGGTAAAGATAATGTATGAGGGGCAATGGATAAATGGAAGGGAAAAAAGGGTGGGTTGTAGGGGTGTAACGGTATTCGTCCCGTACCATCACGGTTCAGACATCACGGTTCGGCACATGCAGTCACACGGCGAATACGCCTTTTTTACGACTGGGAAAAAAGTCTGTCACTCAGGGCAGTATTACACTATATATAATCCAGGGGGCGGTATTGCGCCTAAAAGCCAGCCGCCCGTAAATAACAAATGAAGAAGAAGAACAAAACACAACAAAATGAACACAATACATGAAGAAGAAAAGTTAGCTACGGCGAGTTCACACAACACACAGGAGCTAGAAGAACCACCTGCTTCTTTTAAATCAAGTGTGTGGGAACATTTCGGGTTCCCTGTGGATTACAACAATGATGGGGTGCGAGTTGTGGATCGGACGAGGACGGTGTGTCGGCGTTGTTCGACAGCGGTGCGGTATGCTAGTGGTAACACGTCAAACATGCTCAGTCACATCCGAGTCAGTCTTAGTCCCCAGCGAGAGGGTTTTCTCGACGGCAGGTGACATAGTTACCGCCAACAGATCTGCCCTCACTACTGACAACGTAGACAAACTCATCTTTTTGAAGAAAAACTTGAAAATAGAGTAAAGCTTGAGTACCTTTATTTAGGCATAATGGCCTCACACACTCACAAGTTAATTACACATCTTAGACATTGCTCCTAAAGGTACAGATTTTATTTTGTTTTATATTTATCATTGTATTTATTTTATATTTTGACATCAGGAGATGTTATACAGTTCTGTATTGCCTTTTATTGATTGTGATTGAAACACTTTCTTATTATTTATTTTAATATTTTCAAGACATTCTTTTTAGTTGTACAGCTTATTTAACCTTTTTGTTTGACATCAGCCAATATAAATAATATGGCCATCTGAGTGTTACTGTTTGTGGTTTGTTTTTAACTGTGTAATACAGTTAATGATTCCGAATGTTAGAGTTCCTTATTTTCATACCAAAACTTTCACTACTGTTAAAAAAAAAATGCATTTGGGACTTTTTTTTGCTTTTCCTTGTTGTACCGAACCCGTACCGAACCGTGACCCCCAAACCGAGGTATGAACCGAACCGTGACTTCTGTGAACCGTTACACCCCTAGTGGGTTGTGAAATTGGAGACACACAAGGACTTAGTATCCTAGCAGGTGATTAGGGGGTGGCCCTGCTCCTGAAACTAGATACATTTGTCAACTTTTTCTATTTTTTTATTTTTCAAGATTACTTTTTAATTATATGTAGTTTTTTGTTCTACTTAAATAAAGAGACAAATCATTTTGGTTTCAGATTTTGCCAATAAAATGAACTTTGGCAAAAAGCCTTAAAGACACATCTCCAGTTAAAAGTTTCCAATAGTTACAGTTTTTGTCAGAGGTCATGAAATACAAAAAGGTATTTTCTACTTGGCATATTCTCAGGTGCCACGCTAGACACCTCCAAAGCTCCCCTTTTAGAATGTGAGAAAACAAGGGCATATGGTCTAGGCTGGCCCCAAATCTGGAGGTGTTTGGCTTAAAGTAGCCTGCTCCGTAGGTTTATCCTTTCAAAGACAGACAGGAGGGGCTGTTTGCGGTGTCTAGAGGGGAGTGATCCGGGCCGTGGCTGGCTCCAAACCACTACCAGAACATGTTAGTCATCATTCCAGCAGACCCAGGAGACAACAGAGGAAGCTTGGCTGTGAAGTAGCTGCTGGTTTTGCATCATGTGCTGCTGCACCATGGGAGGACAGTTTGACATCGTCATCAGATAGCATGATCAAAAGAGGCTATAGATCTGTGTTCATCTTCGTGTACACACATCGGTATGTCAGAAAACACCTAATTTACTTTTCATAAAATGCCTTTCTGAATTCCCTGATCTTATTTATTTTTTAGCTATAAATATAATTCTGTACATCCCCCTCCTCTTTCATTCACTCTGTTGGTGCTGTTTGCGCTCTCGCCTCTTCAGAGTTCTGAGTACTTGGGCATGAATATTTCATTGACATGCACACACAGCCCCTCCTGTGCATTGCCTCGCTGACAAACCCTGTGAGCACACACACTTTGAGGGTGAACAATGCGATAAATAATATGTCACACGTATACATTGAGGACTGGTTGATAATCTAAAGAGACGTGACCAAAATGACCCCTGTAGAATACGTTGTATCTACCATCTCGAGCAAGCCATGCCATCGCTCTCTGTGCCTCTGTTGGTTTCTGTCTCCAGTGATATGGAAGATTTCAAGAAAGCAAAGGTTAATCTTTAGATGAGTGCACTCCAATATCAGTGTGTTAAGCCCCAGAGGGTTTAATACTTTTAGAATCCCCGCACTTTCCATTCTGCGATAGCTAAAGCCACGAACATTTGCCCTTGAGTTATGCTGTGCTAGAGAAGAACCTTGAGGTCAGGGCCGATACTTAATGCTGCTGCACGTTGGAATCCGCCAGCCTCCTTATTAAGCAGCTATTGATGAATCTCTTTACAAGCGAAGGGTTAGTATTTTGTCAAGGCTTCCTCCGGGCTTCTGCAGATGTGTATTGATACATCACTCAGAGAGCCACTGGCCTTCAGATCGGCTGTCTGAAAAGCTCAGTAACTACCGTTCATTGGGGCGTGCTTTAGAGAACCAGATTATCAGTTTTGCTTAAAGGAATAAGGATTCACTGATTGAGAGTTCATGACCATGGGGATAAAGAAAAGTCTGTAAATTGTGTACGGCTTTGATAGACCAAGAATGTGCCGAATCCTAGACTTACCATCTAAAAACAGTAGGTTAGGAAAACACACTGTCTCTAGGATACTGCTCTACTATCCCTGACTCCTTCCTACACCAATGAGTCAATATAAGTTATCTAAAGCAGGGGTGCCCACACTTTTTTGGCTGGTGAGCTACTTTTGAAATGACCAGCTCACCGAGGTCTACCAACCAAAAATAAAATCCCAAATTGCAAGGGTTGCTGAATAACACGTTTTATTTATACATGGAATAACTACAGGGCTGCAACAAACGACTCATTTGATAATCGATTAATCTATCGATTAATGAAACGACTAATCGACTATTCAGACTATTACTGTATGCCTTGCACAATTTCTCAAGCGCTCTTGTTTAGCCATCAACTTTTAGATTTAGCTTGAGGTTGTTTTAGGCATGTGGAAACTAACAATGAAGACAATAAAGATGAATACTTGATTCAAAAATACAAACATTATTAAATTAACTTGCCAAATTGTGAACAAAATTAACATTGCTTTTTATTTAAATTAAATCAATAATATTTCGCATCAAAAGAAACAACAATGTTTTAACAAATCGTATTCAATAATGTGATGACAGAACTGTAAACAGAATAGCTGAAACTTTAACAAAATAAATAACTCAGTTACCTCTAATCATTAACCCATGTTTGTATAATGTAGTTAACTCCGTGTGTTGCTGCTAGCATACATAACACCTGACGTGGAAACGTTACTCGTGGATGGGGCTACAGAGCTGCTAGAAAGACGGTCGAACCCGGTACATTCCTCCGTCTGGATGTGGTGCGCTTTTGCTAAATGTTTAGACACATTGCTCGTGTTACCGCCCTCACATGCTGAACTCTCTTGGCAACGAGCATTGTCCGCCTCAAGACGGGTAACATTTAACCACACATTGGAGCGCTTCTCTCCGCCATCCCCTCCGTGTGTTGCTGCATGTAGCAGCTGCGTGTGTGTAAACTGCCCCGCCCCCTCGCGCACAGACGGGAGAGAGAAAGATCTCGTCTGGATTGGAAAGATCGAAAATACACCGACCATAGACGCATTTGTTTGTCTTTTTGCATGTTAGAAACGAGTTGGCGACACTAAGATTGCGAGATAATGTTTGTGTAGCAATAATACAGACCTTTCTCTTTCTCAACTCGCTACTCGGAGGGAAGTCGCTGTCATATGCCTTGTGAACACTCCGATAATGCCTCTCCACGTTACCTTTCTTTGGCAGAGCGACGCTTGCTTTACAAATAAGGCAAATAACCTTTGAATGTGACATCACAACAAAATATTCTTCCTCCCATTCTGGGTGGAAGTGGTTTGTCTTTAGCTTCTTGCTCGGTCCCGCACTCATTTTGTTGTTTGTCTCTTGTTTGTCTCTTTAAATTAATTTGAGTTTTCCCGGCACTTGACTGATTTTGTATCGCTTTGCATTCTAGGTTAACAGACTGGAAAGCGATAGGTCGCTTTTTCTGTCAATCAAGTAAACTCCTGAATTAAGTGACAGGGAGGCCAAGGGAGGAGGGATCAACACCTGTTTTGTCCATTTTAACTATATGCCCTGGCTGCGGAACGCAGAATGGGGCGGGGTCGGACGTCCGACCCCTCCTCCGCCCCATTCCTATAGGCCCTGGCTGCGGAATGGGGCGGGGTCGGATGTGGGCGGGGCTGGACGTCCGATGGGCGGGGTGTATGGATATCCTAATGACACAAACAGCATCATCTGCTGGACAACTACAAGAAGTACAAATACAAATCTGCACTCGACTAAATATAATTAAAAAACTTCATACTAATTAAATGCATGAATGTATTTAAATATGTGGTATAAAAAGTCATATTTTCTATTAGTGTATTTAAGTTCATTATTTAATATTTGTTTTAATTGATATATTAGTGTATTTAAGTATATTATTTAATATTTGTTTTAATTGATTATTCATTTAGTTAGTTCTGTGCATACTCATATCTAGTCCATATATTTCAAATGATACATTGCACTGCATTTCATAGAATGATAGAAAAAGCATTTATTATTTACAACATTTATCATATAACAGAACAATCATTAAGATAACTGAACCGAAAAAGCAAATACAGTAAATATAAAAACCAAACCAAGTATACAAAAAAAAAATCTATACAACAGTGAAAGGCTTTGCTGATGCAAACATTCAACCGCGCTCTTCAAAACAGGCATGAACCTTAAGGTTTTCTTTGTCAATGCACTGCTCAAAAAACATTAAATAGTCAGAATCAAATTTGAACCTGAACATAAATGGGTCCATCCTGTCTTCCCAGCTGTCTTCGTCCTGCAGGTTGCTGGCTTCACCAAGGTTATGGAGAGCTGCTTCTCTGTCCAGTGGGGCCATGGAAAGAATTTGTGGCAGGATGACTTTATCTCCCATATTCTTTGCAGAGCACCACTGAGATGCCGCCATAGCACTACTTATAAAGGGGTGCTTCTCCTACAGCAGTGGTTCTCAAACTTTTTCTGTCATTCCCCACTTTGAACAGGTGGGCCTTTTCAAGCCCCACCTGTTCCTCTTAAGCTTAATTTGTCAAGCTTAAAATTGTCAAATGTATCGTTCTATAACAGTCTCCAACCTTTTTTAGGATGAGAGCTACTTTCAAAAACTAAAACTAAAAAAATAGCTACTTTTACTCCTCTTTTTGGTTGCACATTTTAACATTATTATATGCTACCTTTAACCTTTGTGTGCTGCAACTGACAGTGGCTGACAGTTAACAATAGTTTGCAGCTCTTTTTGGTAGCAATACATGTATGTATGTAGTGCTTATATGCTTATAGATGCAGTATATTTACAGTGCATATTTAAGGCTATTTCTGCTGTACACCAGTATAAAGGTAATACCTCAGTTTTCTACTTGTTTACTTTTACCCTTTACTAGTATTTTAAATATGTATCTTTCTACCTTGCTTGTGCATCACTTTCCTTTGGGATAAATATAGTACCTATATATACATATGTATGTTGTGCATTTTGTCACATGCATTTTGTTTGTTGTTCAAGTTATGCCCTAACATTGGCTTTTACCTTTATGTTTCACCGTTGCATGATTTTGTATGTGGTTAATCACCAAATGCCTTTCTGCAGTCTTATAAGAGCAGAATGGGCACTGATAAAAAGGTGAACCGGCGGACTGTAGGGGCACAGGTTCTTCTCCCTCAGTAAGAATGGTATGGTGTCTGAGGAAGAACACAACATGGAATACATTCAAATCAGAGTCTACATGTATCAAATGTTGTTATTTCTTTAAGCAGATCGATTCAGTTGGTTTGTAATAATTTAAAAACACATCAAGATGAACAATGTAGATATTCTACATCTATGGATTCTTACGAACATTTCAAGACCAAGCATGCTGCGCTAATGTATTAGTATGGCCATACAGACAACTTACAAGGTAGGAACTTGGCGGCGAATGTCTACTGGGTTGCATAATACATAATTTATTACCTTCGGTCGTTCCCTTCCATGATAATGATGATGTATAATCGTCTTCAAATGTAATAACGCGGACAAACAGACCAACTAGGTGATCACATGGTCTGTTCTTCTTCTTCTTCTTCTTCTCTCTTCTTCTTCTTTTCTTCTTTTCTTCTTCTTCTTCTCTCTTCTTCTTCTTCTTCTTCTTCTTCTTCTTCTTCTTTTCTTATTCTTACTTCTTCTTCTTCTTGGCGGTAGGGAAACAGCTGATGTGTAATGTGGACTCACAAGGCGGGGTCGCGGAATGGGGCGGAGGAGGGGTCGGACGTCCGACCCCGCCTTTTATCCGACCCCGCCCCATTCCGCGTTCCGCAGCGAGGACCTTCTCCATTTTAACGGGGCTGGATTTTTTTTTTTTTATGAATGACTCGCGATCTACCAGAATTGCCCCCGCGGTCGACGTACTGGGCACCTCTGATCTAAAGGGTCATACATCTGAGAGCAGAGCTGAGGAACTCACCGCTTGTTTTCTTCTCCCTGATTTCTGACTTGTTGTAAAACAGGGTGATTAAAAACCCTGATGTGTCTTGCTTTAATTGCAGGGTGTGATCACAGTGTGACACATCGGAGGACTTTTATCAGCCAGTGTGTTTGTGTGCGTATGCATGCTGTGTTTTGGGATGGTTATAGATTTTCATATCCTTTCATTTTATATGTATGAATGTCACCTTACCTCAAACACATGCAATTCATGGATTAGGTTACATCACATGATGAGCTGAAGACCACTCATGTCTCCAGCCATGTACTTACAGGTACATTGAGACCTGTTGAGACCTGTAAGGCATTGAGAACATGTCTTTATATTTGCTTCAGATGTATTTTTAAAAACCTCAAATGATTTGGCTGTAGGTCAATTATTTAATGATACATAGTCTAGCTCAGGGGTACTCAAATACAAATCTTAAAGGTCCAAAATAAATGTTTCAATAAGACAAAGGTCCGTTTATTACGGTCATTCAAACTTTTAAACAATTGCAACAAGATTCTTAACACGAGGTTGCAAAAACAAAAATAATCTGTATGCAGCCGTTTTCATTGTTATTGTTTCTGTGCTTGACCCCTCAGAGTCGCAGTGTAAGAGCTGCACAGTTATGAATAAAGGTAGCTGCACCCTTACCTCTTTCATTCAGCATTCCCATTATTGCTTTATAAATGTCTTGCCCCCTTGTGTGTCACTGAGGTTCGTCAGGCCCAACACATCTTCAACAAACTCCCCCTTTGCCTCATCATACAAACTCACAAACACCAGCAACTGAGCATTGTCAGTGGTGTCAGTGGACTCACCCACAGCTAAGGAAATGCACTGTGCATTTTTTATTCCATCACAAAGCTGATGAATCAAATCACCAGCCAGTATTTCTGTTCTTCTGGTTGCTGTGCAATCTGAGAGGGGATTTGCTTGATTTGACCTGTTATTTCCTCTTTTTGTTTGCCTTCAACATGGTCTCCATCACTTCAGTCATGCATTCTTTTATACTGCAGTTATTATCCAGTGGAAAGCCCTTACCTACTGGCCTAGTTAAATCAAAGTGGTTACTTTTTTTTGGCTGGGCAGTGTAGTTTTACACAACGTCTGATTTGACTTTCTCAGGAATTAAAACAGTTTTTTGGGGGCAGACCCCCTCAAAGAAAACAATATATTTACACACGTAAGGTCATCATCTTAATAGTTTTGTATGCTCATCCGTGAGCAGAGCATCAAGTTGACATGTCTATTACAGCTGAATGCGGCGATTACCATTTTGTTCAGCAAAACGCCTCACAAACGTATTGATCAACAGCTTTAGTGCGTTTTGATTCAATGCTGAGTACAGCCAAACTGACAGTCTCTTCTCTGTCAGTGTAGACCGCAAATACCTCATTGCTTCAGTGCGTGGGTCCGAATGCTTCTCGTTTTGCGCCGTCCAGTTAAAAATGAAATCGCCGCCAAATCGTATGTCGACGCTCGCGCCAGGACCGGGGGAGGGGTTACATGACGTGCATCTTGTGCTGCATTCACTTGCACTCGGACATTAGAGACTTTCTCTCATAAATGTCCGATGAGCCACAACTTTTCTTTCAAAACAAAGCTGCCAACTGGGGTGGCAGCTGGGGTGGCAAGGCCTATTTTTAGGGTGTCAGTTGCCACCCCGGTAGGTGAAACTAGGCTACTAGCTACAGTACAGATGGAACTAGATGAGCTGTTAACTCTCGCTCTGAATTTTTTTTGTTTTTGTTTTAATTCTCGCTCTGACTTAGACAGGTTGAAAGAGATACACACATTTTTCCCACCCGCATTCCGCGAAGACCCGCCCTACTGTGCCTCTGATTCGCAGATTGTTTGGGGGGAAAAACGCTGACTGGATGCTGAATGTGATTGGACCAAAGCGTTGACACACACAGGTGGAACACAGTGGAACAGTCAGACATGCAGAGCGCTGTTTGCAGTGGACATAGCGGAGAATTTTGACTCGTTGCGAATGCGTTGTGGCGATGTCTCACATATAATACAGAGAGATCATACATATGAAAAGTATAATTTGCTCAGAGTCCGGAGACAGTGCTGGTTCGGTCCGGATCCGGACCGGAGTCTGTAGTTTGAGGATGCCTGGTCTAGCTTATTAAGAGCATCTATCTCATTCTGTTTTTGGAGCTAGAGATGGAAAAACATATTGCTTAAGTGTTTAATAGTATTTTCAATCTGGATCTACGTTTTAATCCCTTGTCAAACCCATTTCAGTTGTTGGCATTTAAATATGCTAAGAGAACAATACAATAATTGTTGGGGAAATATTTAACTTTGACCCAGTTTATCAATCAATCAATCAATCAATGTTTATTTATATAGCCCAATATCACAAATGTTACATTTGTCTCAGTGGTCTTCACAGTGTGTACAGAATATCAGTATGACAATACGACACCCTCTGTCCTTAGACCCTCACATCGTACAAGGAAAAACTTCCAGAGAAAACCCCACAGTTTAAAGGGAAAAATGGGAGAAACCTCAGGGAGAGCAACAGAGGAGGGATCCCTCTCCCAGGACGGACAGACTTGCAATATATGCCGTATGTAAATCGAAAAGATGATACATTTGCAACATAGGTAGTCCAAATGTTTGGAAATGCATGTGTCTATAATAAGAAGATGAATCCATGAGGATGTCAACAATCTTGTGGGAGCCATCAGTGAAGTAGTATAGTGAGAGTCTGGCAGGACCGCAGAGACAGGTTCAGCTACGACTCGAAGTCCAGGACTCAGATCCAGTGCTCAGGATAGAGGATCCAGGACACACGACCACAGCTACAGGATCAGCCTCGACTCAGGATCCCGGCGTAGATATAGACACAAAAAAGAGATTTGGGGGAAGCTGGGTTAATCGGAACATGAGAGTACACAGGTACAAACAGCCAGAAAGACGGAGTAAAGTGCCCCCCTCAACAGTCCAAGCCTATAGCAGCTAAACTAACGTGTCTACATACATGCACTCCCTTAGGATAGGTTGAGGGAAAAGGGTAGCAAGTAAGAAGTAGGAAACAGAGGTGGAGAGGCACACAGGGAAAAAGGTCCCCATTGGAACCTGAATTTGTCAGAGGTAGGAGTGGGTCAGTGACTACGTTCCACACTCCCCGGCCGGGCTAGGCGTTCTCTGCAACCTGTTACCCTCTAATATACCTCGAGAGGTCATAGAGGGGAAAGGTTTGGATAAAGTTTTAAATATAAGATCTAAGTTTTTAGGATTTAAGTGAAAGAGTAAGAACTAAAATGTATAGGTGAAGAGGCACAACGTATCTACGTCAATGCACTCTTATTAGATTATTTTATTTTATCACTATAAGCTTTATCAAAAAGGAAGGTCTTAAGCATACTCTTAAAAACCGATAGGCTGTCTGCCGCCCGAACACAAACTGGAAGCTGATTCCACAAATGTGGAGCTTGATAAGAAAAGGCTCTGGCTCCCATTGTACTTTTAGAGAATCTAGGAACAACCAACAACCCTGCATTATTGGAACGCAATGCCCTAGTAGGACAGTAGGGTATAATGAGTTCTTTAAGGTAAGATGGTGCCTGCCCATTAAGGGCTTTGTAGGCGAGAAGAATAATTTAAATTCTATCCTGTGTTCTATAGGGAGCCAGCCAGAACAGGAGTAATGTGGTCCCTTTTCCTAACTCTGGTTAGTACACGAGCTGCAGCATTTTGAATCAGCTGAAGCAACTTGACTGACTTCTTGGTACTCCCTGATAATAAAGAGTTACAATAATCCAGCCTAGAAGTAACAAATGCATGGATTAGTTTCTCTGCATCGTTTTGAGGCAAAATATGCCTAATTTTGGCAATGTTGCCTAGATGGAAGTAGGCGGTCCTTGAGATTGATTTTATGTGGGCGTTAAAGGATAAATGCTGATCAAATATAACACCAAGATTCCTTACAGTCTCACTGGAGGCCAAACTAATGCCATCCATAACTAGTATATCTTTAGATAGTTTGTTTCGTATATTCTTTGGGCCGAGTACAATAACTTCAGTTTTGGTCGTGTTTAACATCAACAAATGTAAGGTCATCCACGTTTTTAAGTCCTTGAGGCAGTCTTGAATTTTATTTAGGTGATTGGTTTCATCAGGCTTGATGGATAAATATAGTTGAGTATCATCCGCATAACAGTGGAAATTTACAGAATGATTCCTTATAATATTGCCTAGCGGAAGCATATATAGTGTGAACAAAATAGGTCCAAGCACTGAGCCCTGTGGCACTCCATGGCTAACTTTGGTTTGCATGGAAGATTCATCGTTGACACGTACAAACTGAGAGCGTTCAGATAGATAGGACCTAAACCAGCCTAAAGCAATTCCCTGTATGGCAACTAAGTGCTCTAGTCTTTGCAATAGGATATCATGGTCGATAGTATCAAATGCAGCACTGAGATCGAGCAAAACAAGAATAGAGACAAGTCCCTTGTCTGAGGCTATTAGAATGTCATTTGTGACTTTAACCAGAGCTGTCTCTGTGCTATGATGTGTTCTAAAGCCAGACTGAAAATCTTCAAATAAAACATTGTTTTTTAAGTAATCACACAA